TGAATTAGTCGTTCAGTGTCATTATCGATACCTTAACACGATTTCATTTGTTGTAGTCGGATTTTCCATGCTTAATCATGCACTCTATTGTGGATTTCAGATGAATACTTCATTCGTGCTCAACTTAACCTTTCTGAAGCCTTTTTCCCAATTAATGAATCCTGTACAATGCTGATGTAGCGGCAGAGGGGTAAAAAAAAATTTTAAACCTGTTTTTAAAACTACTAATGTTGTATCAAAATTCGACAACATTCCAAATACGATCCAGCGCCATGCTTGAATTTGCGGCCCGCAGAAGTTGCCGCCCGGGGCACAGACCCGGCTTGCATCCCCCCCCCCATGGATCCGGTACTGTTGGAAATGGCGCAGAAAACGTTCACCTTTGGAGAATCACGCTCATGTTCCATTATTCTATGTGGATTTTCTTTGCCTCAAAATCGTAAATTATGGCGATTAACTTTGCCAGAAATGTAAAAAGTGACTTCATTGATAAACAGAAGTCTATTCGTAAAACCATCTACCTCCAGCTTATTTTACAAATTCTCACAGATAGTTTTCACACAACGTTTCACAGCAACGGTTTATCAGAAGGTTATAATCGCAACGGTTAGGCAATGGTTTATCAAAAGATCTGAACCATCTGAAAGGGACATGGCCGGAATTATAGGCGTTTCCTTAACACACGGCACCCGTTACATGAGGCAAATTGAGTTCAGAACTCGTGCTTGATTTTGTGAGACTTCATAAAATGTTTTCACGATTTTTTTCAACCACTTCGGTTTTGACTGCTAATTGTCCTGGGCTAGTTATCTTACACAAGCAGTCCGTTTCATGAAACTGCTTCACCCACCGTTCGATGTTGTGACGATGCGGTGGTTCTTGACCAAATTTTACGCGAAAATGTCTTTGAACGATGATGAACGATTATTTTTTGAAGTATTCCAAAGCACAGTACGCTTTCTTATACAGTTAGTCAATAAAGTCTGCGTACATCAAGAAAAGTAATATCAAATCCAAATTTTAAGGTGCGAAAAGGGTAGTTTCTTAAAGTTTTAATTTTTTAATATTTAGTTTCAATAAGGGACTTTGAAATTATTTAACTGTAATATTTTCATATCTAATAATTTATGCACACTAATTTTTAAAAGATAAGTGGCCAGAAATCAAAGCCAACAAAGTTTGCGTACGACGCGAAGGAGGCGGGGGATTTCTTATCTAATTTTTAAACTTCAAACTTGAAAATGCAAAGAATGTTACACTTTCAAGATCATTGACTTCCGAAGCAAATTTCACGTTGATTAGAAGTTGCTATTTCTATTTTCTTTGACGAAAATGACAACCAATAAAGAAATTCTTTTAGTTACGAGACAACTAATTATCAAATTGAGAGATGAAGGTAAAACTCTTCGTTATATTGGGAAAACCATTTTCTAGTGTGCAAAGAGTTATTCAAAACTATCTTGACACTGGTAGTCTTGCTGTAAAACCAAGATGTGGGAGACCGAAGAAGCTAACGCAGAGAGAAGAAAGAAAAATTCTTTTACGAATTAAACAAAATCCTAAACTTTCTGCTGCAAGCATTGCAAAAGACATTTTTTTAACTAGCAACAAGGAAATTTCTCCTGAAACTGTACGAAAAGTGCTGCGAAAGTCCGATTATCATGGACGCAAACCTAGGTCTAAGCCATTCATTTCCGAGACAAATGGAAAGAAAAGAATTGCTTTTGCCAAAACATGTTTAAACTCTTCGCAGGACTTCTGGAACAATGTAATTTGGTCAGATGAAAGTAAATTTACAATATTTAAAGTTAATGGCCACCCTATTGTATGGAGAAAACCAGGAACAGAACTGAATCTGAGAAATTTAAATCCAACTGTCAAACATGGAGTTGGCGGTGTGATGGTATGGGGGTGTATGTCGTCGAAAGGAGTTGGAAATTTTCACATTATTGATAAAGTCATGGATAAGTATGTTTATCTGGATATTCTGAAGAAAAATCTACGAGACAGTGCCCGAAATTTAAACCTTTCTAATACCTTTATTTTCTAACAAGACAACGACCCGAAACATACAGCTAAAATTGTGAAGTAATATCTCCTCTATCACACTCCAAAACAGTTGCGTACTCCTCCACAGTCACCAGACCTCAATCCAATCGAACATTTGTGGGCAAAATTGGAGAAACGAATTCGAAAACACAATATTACGTCGCGAAATAAGTTAATTAGTAAATTGCAGGAAGAATGGGCGAAATTTACGTCGGATGACACTGAAAAACTAGTTCAGTCAATGCCCAGACGTCTGGAAGCTGTTTTGAAGAATAAAGGATATCCTACAAAGTATTGAAGTAATGTAAATTTTTTTTTTTTTTTTTTTTTTTTTTGGAAAGTGTACGCAGACTTATTGGAGGGGATTTCTGAGTTTTTTTGACAAAATATATTTTTGAAAAATGTAAAAAGTATTACACTGATATTATTTACTTTTTATTTAAGCTTACAATTTTAGTTAATAGAAGAAAAAAAAATGCAATGATTAAAATACATTTTTCTATGCTTTAAGTGTTTTTTTAATTTAAAATTTAGTCTGTACGCAGACTTTTGTGACTAACTGTACATGGATAGCGCCATTTTGATTAACAGTGCCTATAGTGACGATTTCGTAACCGAAAAATTTTTCCCTGATGATATGAGCACTAAAGAGAAATGAACGTAATTACGCATTAAACGACATTCTCACACTACTTAAGTTTGATTGACTGTAGACTTTTAGTTTAGAAATACTCTGATTCCAGGGAACCAGTCACCGAGGTGCTTTCATTTTGATTTAACAGAAGCTGACCAACAGAACAGCCGTTTTATTTTGAATCGCCAAAGCACGATGTAAGCAGACAAATGTGAGTGTTGTAGGCATGAGAGCTCCTATGAATTGCTGCTTTCATTTTAAAAGTTAATAATAAAGAATATTTCTGTTTTCAAATGTAAGTTGGACTAAGCAATACCTTGAGATAATTACATTCATCGAGACAGTGTTTGCTAAAATTAATAGAAATTCTTTGAAAGCAAATTTGCCTCCGTACTGCGATCAGTTTCTGTGTTTTGTAATAAGTCTTGTTATTGGGAAAAAATAGTGATCTGATTGGGAGTTTGAGAACGGCCGCCATAAAAAAGACGGTTGCTTGTCTCACATGTTTCCCCCAGCTCAGAAAAATTCCGCGGAATTTTCTATTTCCGAAGGGAATGAAATCAATATTCATCTAAGGAAAGTGTTTTGGATAATAACTATGCGGGAAGATGCCAATTTTGCCAATTCTGGTGATCGATCAACGATGATTATACAACTCTACGAAGTGAAGCAGCAGACTGAAGCCATTCAGCCTCAGACTTTGATGAAGCTTACTTCGACACCATTTGACGCCGTAGTTTACCAACAGCTCGAAAGGGTAGGGAAGAGTCTGCTAGATAAGAAATCTATCTAATCAAATTAATGATACTGCAAATTCAGTTGACGTGCAGGTTTTTCATCTTCCATCGACCAGTGATGATTTTCTGAAAATGATTGAGGCTAAAGAAATAGCAAAAAGAATGATTTAAAAGCTAAGAAAGCTCTCCGTCCTGACAGACTTAAAAAATCTTTACCTGTAGGAAAGTCCAAATTTTCACTCAAGCGCAAAGTATTCACTCGGAGGGTTTCATCCCCCCTAGCTTTTTGCAAACAAGGTAACTACCTGTTATTGCTACTGATGATGCTTTAAATATTGATGAAAATATTATTGCAAATTCTAAAAACGTTAGTAACTTGTTTAGTAATGCAAACCTTGTTGTTGCCTTGCCCATGCACGACGCCCTGTACAGTGTGTACCTCTAACGCCTGCCCATCGGAGAAGGCGTTCTCTGTGGTGCCGGGAACACAGGAATTGGAGAGACAGTGAATGGGGACGAGTACTTTTTACAGATGAGAGCAGATTCAGTCTGAGTAGCGATTCTCGTCGCATACTCATCTGGAGAGAGCGGGGAAGCCGCAATCATTCCTCGAACATCATTGAAAGGGACAGGTATGGAGGTGGCGGTGTTTTCGTTTGGGGAGGCATTCTGCTTGGTAGTCGTACAGACCTTCACATCTTCGAGGCAGGTTCAGTCAACGGGACCCGTTATTGTAACGAGATTCTTCTTCCATATGTGCGTCTTTTTAGAGGCGCTGGGCGCTATGGGTCCGCAGTTCCTTTTCATGGACGACAATGCACCATGTCATCGCACAGTAGCTGCCGAGCAGCTCTTAGAGAGTGAGGATATTGAACGTATGGATTGGTCGGCACGATCTCCGGATCTCAATCCCATCGAGCATGTATGGGATTTTCTAGGCAGACGCTTGGCAGCTCTTACCTTACCACCAGTAATGATTCCGGAGCTTCGATTGGCGCTGCAAGACGAATGGGCAGCAATGCCTCAACAACTCATTGACACCCTCATTCTCAGCATGGGCAGACGCTGTGAAACCTGCCTAGCAGTCAGGGGAGATCATATCCCCTATTAAAGACCGGATGTTTCTTGCTGGACACCCATCACAGGGATGTTTCGGCCTTCAGTCGCATTGCGCTCCATGCGCTCCATGCTACTTTTTCAATAAAGCTTCTTTTTATCCCTCTGATTTCTCTTTTAGTAAGTGTTGCTTACATTACTCATGTCCTTACGTATTGGGGATCTTACGGTATTAAATGTGTTGATTTGGAAAGCTTTTGTACAAAGTTATATTGAAAAAACCGTCTCGTCCTTAATTTTTGTACACCAGTGTATTACTAAACTACGTATTTCATTTTAAAATTAATCAGTGCTTGAAAGAGAGTAAATTCGAAAAGTATTCAAGTGTATTGTCTGATTCAAGCGTATTGTCACGATTGTAATAACATTATTTTATGGTAAAATAGTTGAGAATAGTAAAAAAAGTATATTTGCTCTTTTGATAAATAAATCTAATTTACTTACTAATTTTATTTTAATTCCAGAGCTCGTTATCCTCCATATAATAACAACAAAGTAAAAATTTTGAAGATGTTCCTGTCAAAGAGGCCAAATTTTATGCCATCTTTTCTGCCCCAACTCTTAATCTTTCTTCTAGGAATGATTACTGCTTTCATAATCAAAGAAATATTTATGGTAAGTATAAGTGAAAAATTTCATACTTTTATGGATACACCAAAAAATATCGTGACATTTTCAATAATGCTTTTTTAATTTATTTGAAAAGATATTTTTAAAAATTGAATGATTTTTTTTTTTCATTTAAAATTTAAGGAAACGCCATAATTAATTTTTTCTCATTTCACTGTCATTATATATAACTTACTTTCAAAGCTGCTAACTTCTAACGTTGACATTTTTTCATGGTATATAATATTTGTTACTTTTTGGAGTAAGCAAGTATTGCAATAATTTTTCATGCTTTACCTTGCTATACTTCTTTAATAATTTTTTTGTTTTCTCTTCTTTTGTGTGTGTATATGCAAAGAAATGTTTTTTCTTTATCAAAATTTTCACAATAAGGCAGAAAATAGATGACATCTATTTTTTTTTATAAAAGTAATGATCTGATGATTAAAACTTCAAAAATCATGTTTTACGTTTATATGTATTATATATAATAATAAATAATAAACATATGATTTTGTAGATATACATATTAAAGCGGAAGAAATACGTCATTCCTATATGGTAACCACTTTGACATTTTAATATGCGTTATAAGAGTACCTCAGCATTAGATTTCTTAAATTTCTTTTTCAGAAAAGGATTTTTCAAAGCACATGGCACCTTCCAGCCAGTAATTAAAGAGATCATGCAGCATAAAAACCCCAGACTGCTACTTTAAGTATTCAGCCTTCCTGTTTTAATCAAAAGGTTTCTGCTATCAAAGGAATTAAAATAAGTTCCACAAGTATTAGTGAAACGCTATAAGCTACAATTTTTAACGAGGCTCGCAGAATGGTCAAGTCCCTGAAAACTCTTAGTTCAAACTGGGTTCAAATCTTGGAGAACGGGTTAACTACAGGGGTGTTTTTATGGTTTTTCTCAAGTGATCCGAGCAAATTTCCCTCAGAAAGGCCTCCATGAATACATTCCTTCTCTCAAGCAGATAACTCTCCCGTGCTGTGCTAGAATCAGTTAAACAAAAATAACCAATTTTTAACGTATCATTTCTGTTCTTATTAAATGCCAGACATCTTGGTCCTCGCATCATAAAGCTACATTCTCTCCAACAGTGCTGAATAATACAATTAAAATCCTTCAACGTATTTTACTCTAGTCATCATCTCTTATCCACTATCACATAAAAATACAACCATATCATATACAGTGGAGATGAGATCGTAGAATAATCATCATTAACTAAAAGCTTAAATTTAATCGGATACGGAATTAGTACTGAAAAGTGTTCTTTTTTGGCCCTGCCCTCTCTGGCGACCATTCAACAAATTATACTAGGAAAAAATTTGATATTAATAGAGTTATTGTTATTTCAGTTTTGAACATTGTAATTAAAGGCAAGTAATGCAATACCAAAATTCGAAACATTGATCAAAGTTACAAAGAAAACGTTTTAATTGGCGGTTAGGTAGGAAAACCCAGCTCAATACTGTATATGATTTATATGGTGATACTGTATATGATTTGTATGGTGATACTGTATATGATTTGTATGGTGATACTGTATATGATCACCAATGATTCATTCTTTCCGACCATCCCGTTTCACTTCCAGTCACATTTAGTCTGACTATCTAAACCGATCTGGATGTAATGACACCGACATCTGTGACTGTGGCAGGCTTAGCAGCCCAAACATCCCTTTCGTTAGACCATCATCTCAAATTAGAGACTTTTGAACGCTGGTCAGTTTGGACAGAGAATGCGCTCTCTAATAAAGTTGCATAGCTCATGATAAAAAAAGCTATTAATTATTGTGCTTCCACATATGCCAAGATTTTTTTATCGTCAGTAAAACCTCTGACCTTTAAGAAAAGTATATGCTTCGAAAGTTTTATGCTTCTAAAAATGAAGGAATCATTGGCCTTGAGAGTTTCTGGAGGGGAATAGTACGATTTCTTTTGTTAAAATATCAACCATTTAATTTTCATATAATCCAAAATGTACAGAAATCCATTGAATGAATTTTTATTAAGTAAATTTGCTGAATATGTCCCACTATGTTCATTCTTTCACTGCCAGTTCTAAAGCAATAGGTGTGAGAGACTTGAAGCATTATTGCCGTCTTGAAAGAAGAATAAAGAAATGAGAGTTATTTGGTTAAATAATTGCCCCTCTTTCTGCATGATAATGAATTTTAAAAGATGCATCAAGACAGCATAAGGTGGAAAAAATCAAAGAAGATTTTAGTGTCAGCACCGTGAGTCCTACAGAGAGGGGAATCTTATAGAGACAGAGACGAATAGACACAGACGGAATAAATGGAGACAAAGAGACTCTATAGACAGAGAGGAATCACAGTATAGATGGACACCCAGTTATCTTTTGGAAACTCTATTCTATAGTATATATAACAATGATATATTCAAGACATATATCAGTTTTCCTCACTTTCATAACAAGAGTCCAGAAAAACTAAATGACGTATGGATGGTAAAAAAAAAACAGTAGACCTGATTTATTTATATAACTATAGCAACTTCTTTCACTACCTAAAATAATCTTGAATTTTCAAATTCCTGGTGCAAATACTTTTAGTAAACTTTGGGAACTATTATGAAGATAGCATAAAATTTCTTTCAATAATAATTGTCTTTTATACCACTTTAAATAAGAAGGCATAAAATCGAAGTCAGTATTTGAATATATACTTTAAATCATAGCAGCAACATGTAGTTACAGTTAAATGAAAGAGAAATGCAAATGTTTTTTAATTTTTCATAATTTTACTTTGCATATTTGTAAGCATCCTTAGTTTTACTAACGTTCATTTTATTTTAAAACTGTACTATCACTTCTTATTTTCTACTTCCGGACAGAATTAAATGTGTTAACTTGTTTATGCAAATTGTACTTGCTAATGCCCAAGTATTTAAGTTGTGGCTTTTTTGCCAAGAGTTAGAGAGAAAGTGAACCGCCTTGCCACTGCATTTTGTACGAGTTTTCAGTCAGTTGCTGATTGCCTTTAAGGCCAGAGGTTTCATCCTCTTGATATTTAAAACGTAATGTAGTTTCGGCAGTTTGCGTACTACATACGTAATCTTTTAAAAGGCCAGTCTTAGTATTAGGCATTTGTAAACTAATTCAAAGTTAACTCTTATTTAGAATTTCAGTCAGTAGTTTTATATTCTTACGTTTAGACCATAAGTGGTTGGTCTCTGTATCCCGAAGTGCGGGAACACCTGTAATCTTATATAGAATAAAGGGTAAAGTAAACCCTTCCTGTTTGTGTCGTCCATTTCACACATACTTGAACATAGCTTAAGTAAGCTCCCTGTTCCTATTCAGGGCACATCATATTCCCTAAAGAAGTCAAAAGACATACGAGTCCTGACAACTTTAATATTTTCTTCAAATATAGAAACATATATTTTGAAATCATTAAATATAAAATAACCATTAGTTAATATTTCTTCTCAGTATAATGTTTTTTGCATGTGAATGTATAGGCTGATGGAAACAAAAGCGTGAAAAAGAAAGATTTTCAACCAATCAAAATTTTACAAAGCTGGAGAAAATTTTCTTCAGTTTCTTAAAAAGGCTGAATGTCTGAAAAGATTGTTCAGGCTTACAGGCAACATGTTTTGACATTAAAGTGTATTCTAGAGTTTTGTCGAAAGAAGGATTTTTCACCGTAGTAAATAGTATCCTGTTTTATAAATGCATTTCTGTTACAAAGTAAAGGTTCAGAATGGCTATTGATTGTAATAGAAAAAAATGAAAAATGAACGGTAGGAAAAAGGATATTTCTAAAATATCTGTTCATGTTCATTGATGTGATTCTAGCATCAATATTTATTTACCGAATGTTAATTCTTTTAAATGTCTTCTGTGCTTTGCATATTTGTTTTTTTTTTTTTTTTAGCTTTTTTGTATATTATAAATGAATTCTGAAAATATAACTTAATTACAAATTAATATAAACACTCGTATAGTTGGAAACGAATTTAGCTTATTTTTTTTACCTAAAATTTAATTTCGTACTAAAGCATCAAGCATTCATTTTCCAAATGATTTCGCAAAGTCACGCTTACTCACACATTACTACTCATTACGCAAGGATAAAAGATTTAAATCAAATTTCTCTAAAATAAATCATTTCAAAACATATTCAAAGTAATATTTACAACAACAAGTGGAAACAAAGTTTCCCCCTTTTTCAATTACAGTGCAAAGAACATGCATGACTGACAATATTGATCTTCTCCATTGTAGATAATACTTAACTTAACGATAAGTCATTTATTGAACTTCAGGAATTACTGTACGCACAATCTAGTATTCTGAGCCATACATGAGTAGTATTATTATTAGTAATTGAGTAGTATTATTATACTTGAGTAGTATTATTAAAAGCTATTATAAAAATACTGCTATTTTTTATAATAGCCTTTGGGTTGATATCCAAGATTTATCGCGATCTCTTAAAAAAATTAACCATTTATAAGCTGCCATTCGCTTGGCTAAATTTTGTTGGCTAAGAACCGAACGAAAATGGGAAAGTAACATGGGGAAATACCGGAGCCTGTATGCGTTTAAGTATTATTTTCTCTCAGATCCCGGGCATCAGTACAATTACGCATGTGCTATTTGGATGAGCATTTTATTGCTTAAGCAGAGCTTTGAATGATAAACGTTGTTTTTATCGATACGTTAATCTCTGAGACGGCACTAAATTCTACACAAGTAAGAGTATATTTTCATTTCTTTACTGTCTTTTAACTTGGCTAAGATGTCGGAATACTTTACATTTATGAAAGAAAGATAACGGACATTAAGTGTACATTGCAACACACAGTAAGCTTTATTATTACATGTTTAATGCTGGTAATGCCTTATTTTGTACTTTTATCTATTAAACTTCATTATATTCCTACACGTTACACGAATTTCGCTATTATTCGTTATTTCACGCATCCGCGATAAGTTTCAGGACGAATGACCATGTTCGT